GTTTGATGTAAAGTTTGAATCCGAAATCATTCGAATATACGAAATCAGATCTTTGCAGAAAAATCTAAAGGAACTCTATCTTGTGCTCATGTACTATTCACATCCAACAACTGTATATACAGTCGCTGTATTCTTTCCATGTCCGGAATGAGGGAACAAAATAAGTCGGAAGCTGTACGAAGTTATCTTTCTCTCTCGATCTACCATAGAAGATGACAGAATCTGTATATAACATGTCTGATGTGGAGAGAGCTCGTGAGCAAGCTAAAGTTCATTAAAAGTTTTTTAAGCTAAGTTCGATTTCTGGGTATGGTTAAAGTAGATCGACTTTTTGCAGTGTGATAACCAGAATACTTAATCATTCTCTAGTGCATTTTTTGCTATAATCCAATCATATATACAAGAAATCCAGATTAAGCCTAAGTAATAAAATGTTCGCCTACAGTTCCAGGAAATGCACCAGCAAGATAATCTCCAACTTCAACCTGAGTGTTTTCTTTGATATAGTAGCCAAGATACACAATACCGGTAGCCACAGTAAAATCTACCTAAGATTTTCTGGATCATAAAACAGTTGTGAAGTGAAGTTGACTTACTTGCTCTTGTCGAGGTATCTCCTGATTAATGGTTTTGATAGATATATCTGCGCTTCCATTTGCTAACTGCAAGAGTGTGTTTATTATATGAATAACCTGTTGCTTGATACCATTTGAAAAATATGCTTATGCTCTACTAAAGTCGGATTTATGGTCACTGTGGCATTGATTAGCCGCAAACACTTCGTCAAGAATTCGATCTGAAAAAGCTGGTGTATATTCCGCTTACCTTTACTGAAGGCGAGACTACGTCACTTGCAAAATTAACAAGCGTCTTACATACGCATGATTGTCATAGTATATATATTTACCTCAGCTCCAGGTTTACTGCAATCTAATCCCATACAGCTGCCGAGGGATACGTATGGAAAACGCGACATGACTCCTACGCCCATCAAATTGTACTCGTATTGCATCTAGAAACCGGCGCCGAAAAATGGAAGAACCAGCTCTTTAAAGAATTTGAAACGGAAGTTTGATAGCAGTAGGCACCGCACTTACGTATTTGGTGTAACATAGTTTACACAGACAGTGTAACTTGAGATGAAAGAGAACTTGATAGGTCATTGCGATTGAAAAAAATGGTCAAAAAACGAAGCTGAAAGGTGACAATCATGCTTCCGCCCTAGGGTGAAGTTTATTGCAATGTTCAATTATCCAAAACTGCTATACAAAAACATGGAAACAAAAGAGATATCATTAACATCGCTTATATCATTTATAACGCATAGCACGTGCCTAACTATGAATGCCTAGCCGCTTTCGGAAGAAAAAGATTAGGCCGCACTTTCTACCCATCTCCGTCATTCTAAGTATCGCTCACCGCAATTTTAGAGATTCTCTTATGCCTAGTTTGTTACAGACAACTGGAGAGCACTTCAAAAGAAACATGCCGCACATACTCAGATAATCGCCGAGGGCAGGCGGTCCGCAAACTC